CAGTTCGGCACCAGTCCTGATATTATACAGAATTCAAACAGCCCCCCTCCCCAGTGACCCATCCAATCAAGCCATTCATCCAGCCCGCCTAAACTAGCGTTTTCTTAAGGGCCCCCCCGAACCTACAGTTACATTATCTACGACAGGCCAGCTAGCAGAGACAGGCATCCAAGGTCATTTTGCATACTTCCCAGCTTCGGGAGGCCCCTTAAGAAAACAGTTGTGAAGCAGCTAACCAAAGCAGTTCCCACACGTGCACACACTCACCAACTGCCCCCCTCCCATGTCCAAATTCAGAATCTAAACGTTGTGGTTACAGGCAGTGAAGATAGAACATGCAAAACCCATGGCAAACAAGGACCCTAAATGTACTAAATATACATAATAATAAATTTCAAAAATAACAGGAAGTTTTTACTGGTGTTACCTCATATGCTTTGCAGTTGCTAAAAGTTTGTATAATGGGCCATGGATAGTAACTGCACAAATTCTCCAAATTATTCTGCACAAAAATAGAAATTATATAAATGTTAGAGTTTATAAATATTCTAGAATAATTTTAACCAAATAGTATTTGAATTAGGCAACAAACCTGGTCATGAATATTCAAAGTGTCAGGATGCGTGTCACTTCCATCAAAGGTAGTAGTCAATTTACATACTGCTAACATTGCATCAATATAAACCTGTAATATACAGACTGAGGTTTACAGAAAACCCACTGATGCCAACTCCTACTTAACAATGGATAGCTTCCACCCAGGACACATTAAAAGAAATATACCTTACTCTCAGTTGTTAAGACTGAGACGTAATTGCAGTGAAGACAGTGATTTTAAGAGGCAATCAGGCATTTTAATGGGTCCCTGACCGAAGTGCTCTTGGAGGTATATGTGGGGAAGGTAAGTCGGACCCTGGCCATATAGGGCTTTAAAGGTGAGTACCAGCCCTGACTGTTCCCTGGAAGGCCAGATAATGAAACTGAAGCTCAAATACTTTGGCCACCAAATGAGAAGGGAGCACTCACTGGAGAAGACCCTGATGCTGGGAAAGATTGAAGGTCAAAGAAGACGGGGATGGCAAACGATGAGATGGTTAGACAGTGTCATCGACGCAACGAACATGAAATTGAGCCAACTTCAAAGGATGGCGGAAGACCGGAAGGCCTGGGGGAAGCCCATAAACAGCCTGGCCGCCGCATTCTGCACTAGCTGCAGCTTCCGGATCTGCGACAGAGGCAGCCCCATGTAGAGAGCGTTACAGTAGTCTAACCTTGAGGTGACCGTCGCATGGATCACTGTAGCCAGGTCATCGCGGTCGAGGAAGGGAACCAACAGCCGCATCTGCCTAAGATGGTAAAATGCAGATCTGGCAGTGGCTGCCACCTGGGCCTCCATGGTTAAGGAGGGATCCAGGAGCACTCCCAGACTCCTAACCTCCGATGCTGGCACCAGAGGCACCCCATCGAAGGTCGGGAGAGGGAGCTTCAGTCCCGAACCATTCTGGCTCAGGCACTGGACCTCCGTCTTCTCTGGGTTTAGTTTCAGCTGGCTCAGCCTGATTTTACATTACAGGCCTGTCAGTTTGACATCAATACCTGGAACAATTCTAAAGCAGAGTATTAAACGCTCTGTCTGTGAGCACCTTGAACGGAATGAGTTAATTGGTTATTGGAATGAGTTAATTGGTAGTAGCCAGCATAGGTTTATCAAGAGTAAGTCATGCTAGACGAACCTTATCTCCTTTTTTGACAGCGTTACTAAAATGGTTGACTCTGGCAATGCTGTGGACATAGAATCATAGAATCATAGAATCATAGAATCATAGAATGTTAGCGTTGGAAGGGACCTTGCAGGTCATCTAGTCCAACCCCCTGCACTCTACAGGAGCATAGCTGAAAGATAGCCCTACATACCTACAACATACCCAAAAGATGGTCGTCCAGCATCCGCTTGAAAACATCCAGCGGAGCATCCACCACCTCCCGAGGCAGACTGTTCCACTGCTCAACCACTCTTACAGTTAGGAAGTTTCTCCTGATATTTAGCCGGTAACGACTCCCTTGTATCTAGTGTATCTAGATTTCAGTAAAGCGTTTGACAAAGTTTCTCATGATATCCTTGAGGATAAGCTGGTTAAGTGTGGGCTGGATGGTGCAACCGTTGGATGGATTCATGGTTGGTTGAAAAATCATACCCAACGAGTGCTCGTAAATGGCTCTGTATCTACGTGGAGGGAAGTCTCGAGTGGAGTGCCACAGGGCTCGGTCCTAGGTCCGGTGTTGTTCAATGATTTTATAAATGACCTGGAGTAAGACATAGAGGGGATGCTTATCAAATTTGCAGATGACACGAAGCTAGGTGGGATTGCTAATTCTGAAGAAGACAGAGTCAGGATTCAAAATGATCTAGATAGGCTGGAACAGTGGGCTGAGACAAATAAAATGAATTTCAATAGAGATAAGTGCAAAGTCCTACACTTAGGTATAAAAAATCAAAGGCATAGATATAGAATGGGAGGGACTTGGCTTGACAGCAGCACATGTGAAAGGGATCTAGGTGTTCTGCTTGATCACAAGCTAAACATGAGCCTGCAGTGCGATGTGGCTGTGAAGAAAGCTAATGCAATCTTAGGATGCATTAACAGAAGCATTGTGTCCAGATCACGGGAGGTGGTAGTTCCGCTCTATTCTGCTAAGGTCAGGCCCCACCTGGAGTACTGTGTCCAGTTTTGGGCACCACGTTTTAGGAAGGATGTTGACAAGCTTGAGCGTGTCCAGAAGAGGGCAACCAGGATGGTGAGAGAGTTGGAATCCAAGTCTTATGAGGAAAGGCTGAAAGAGTTGGGTATGTTTAGCCTGGGAAAGAGAAGGCTTAGAGGGGACATGATTGCAGTCTTCAAGTATTTGAAGGGCTGTTATGTAGTAGATGGAGTGGATCTATTCTCTCTTGCTCTGGACTGCAAGACTAGATCTAATGGGTAGAAATTACAAGGGAGTCGTTACCAGCTAAATATCAGGAGAAACTTCCTAACTGTAAGAGTGGCTGAGCCAGTGGAACAGTCTGCCTCGGGAGGTGGTGGATGCTCCTTCGCTGGACGTTTTCAAGCGGAGGCTGGACGACCATCTTTCGGGTATGTTGAAGGGCTATCTTTCGGCTATGCTCCTGCAGAGTGCAGGGGGTTGGACTAGATGACCTGCAAGGTCCCTTCCAACTCTAACATTCTATGATTCTATGACCACCTGGGTGAAGTAGAAATTCACCCAGGGAGTAGAAATTGGCAAACCCGAGGAATGATTGTAATTGCCTCCTCGTTTGAGGGGGTTCCCACCCCAAAACATCCTGAATTTTGTGGGAGTCCATGCCCAGGCCTTTCTTGGAAATCTGGTATCCCAGAAAGTCCAGTTCCTCCTTGTGGAACTCGCACTTAGACAGCTTTGCAAACAAGCAATTCTTATAGAGAGCTTTCAGCACGTCCCTGAACACCCCTGGGGCCCTGCAAGCCCAAACAACATCACCAGGTATTCAAACTGGCCAAAAGGGGTATTACCCCCTCCCTAATGTGCACCCGAAGGTAGGTGTCCCGCAAGTCCAATTTGGTAAAGATGCGACCCTGAGCAGCCTCTGCCAGTAAGTCATTTATCAATGGGAGGGAGTAGGCGTTAGACATTAACACAGCATTCAGCCCCCGATAGTCCACACACAGTCTTACCCCCCTGTCCTTCTTTTTGCGGAAAAGTACTGTGGCGGCAAAGGGCGAGGCCGCCAGCCAGATGAACCCCCTGGCCAGGTTTTTTATCAAGCAGAGTTATACCCTTTTAAGTCTATTGAAGTCCATTAGAAGGTATAACTGTCCTTCTGATGGCACTGCATGATTTCCTTCATGATTATGTTAAGAACATGCGCATTAAAAAAAACCCAGCCACTTGTGCCACAGGAATTTTTCTTACTTGCAGCAGTCATTTTTGTTTGCCAGAGAGATAAGCTGCTATTGAATTTTAAAACTGGGCTGTCTCTGAAAATTCAACTGGCTATGACAAAAAAACTACCAGAGCTTTGACAGTGTGTGCAGTTTTATCCCATCAGTGTATGTCCTGTCTTTAGATTATGGCCACTAGAAGAGCTAAAAGGATATACTTGGCACTATTTATTTAGAGGGAGTTTGGTTCATTAGTTGAGTTGGTTGCAAATATGTGATAATTCAAGGTCTAAGGAGTGGTGAACTATTTATTTATATAGGTTTTCTACATACCCTTACTGTGAAGCTGAGAGGAAGAATTTTCCAGGTTGAGTTGAATTCTGGGATGCAGGGTAGTACTAAAGGTCAAGGGCACTGGGAGACCCCAGTGTAGATCTTGAAATGGTAAATATTGGTCAGACGTTTCCCTCCACAGTTGGAATTTTATACCATGGGGGAGAATATGGCCTACATGGATGAAGCTGTGATGAACTGACCTCCAAAACCCAGGATGCTTAGTGCATCAGATTCAGAAAGCTGGGAGATTAGGGGTTAATGCCTCACTGTAAAGCACAGTTTGATTGACAGGCTGCTGCCGGTATGCACCCCCCCTTTCTCTCTGATTGGTCAGCACCAGCTGAGGAGAGTTTTTAAAAGTCTTGTCAAAGGGAGCCAGTCCTTGTCTGGACTGTGGCTTGGCAGTTGCCAGTCAGGAGGAGTGTGTGTGTCAGTCTGAGGGAAACAGACAAGTTCACTTGGGAAGTGAAGGGACACAACTCCTTGCCCTTACTGTGTACCATCACATTTGAGGAAAAGTTCAGAAATCAGAACTTAAAGTCTGCGTGTCAGCCCTAGCTGAATTTCATTTATTCACATTCTCCGGAACTGGGGTTTATGTTTGACAGCAGAGACTGGAGGTTGAAAACTGCCAGTCTAGGGGAGGTGGGGTCTACGGCACAACAATGGCGGAAGCCTTTCCCGTTGCTCCGGGAAGGCTTACCGCACATCTGCAGAGGGGAGGGGTGCCGCTGGATCGGCACCTCCACGGGGGGTCAGGGAGGCCCCCAGGTCATAGGGCTTTTGAGGATGAGCCTCTTTTTCTGCTATCTGCAGGGAAATTGAGGCTGCCCTCTGCCCTGACAGTCCCCCCCCCCGCTGTCTGCATCCTCTTAGCGAGGCACAAGCTGTGCGGACCCAGTCAAGCGCAGGAGATCTGGAGAAGGAGCGATTACGAGCGTGGTCAAGATAAAGACCAACAATGAACTGTGAGTTAAAATGAGCGGATCGTAAATAGAAACGTAAATCCCCCCCCCCCCGAAACCTCTTGAGCGATTAGAATCGTGCTGAGAGGGACGCCTCTCTGATGCATTTACAAAGCGAAGGAGGGGGGGAGAGAGAAAGAGACAATTGTAAATGGATACCTTGAAGCGAGAATC